TAAAGCAAGGAGAAGAGATGAAATTATGGAAAAGGGGCTGAGATAATCCCTGGAAAAAGGCCTGTGAACATGATGAAATAGAAGTCAAGTATATAGAAGGGAAAGATTTCATTTGCCTAGAGCTCAGGCAACATAGTTATGGGGACATAGAACAGAGGCTGGAATGTGGATAGTATGTGCAAAGTATGTTGAATACTTTGAATTCTACTTAAGTAAATTTGAATGATTTGTCTACAGGCATGTCCAAGAGATTGGTATTATTTAAGAAACAGTGTGTAATATGTTTTGAGAATTAAAAAAACTTGAAGTCAAGTAAAAGTTCTCTTTAATGCAGTGGGGTGTAGTAACGTGATAATACAGTGCTCACAGTAAGGGGATTGGCAGTAAGAATTAAACAAAAGCACTCTATTATAAAAGTAGATTTTTATAGAACTCAGTGTGAAATAAGCATTTGTACACTGTCCTGAGAACCTAGTCTTAATGCTTAATATTTTTCTCATGTGTTCCTAGTTCTAAACAACAAACCTATAAAGAGAATTTTTGGATGCACTGTGCTTTATAAATCAGAAGCAGCTGCTACATGTACTGCACCATAAGTAATAACATTTTAAAACCTTTATAAAGGGAATTTATTTTGATTCTGAAAAATACTATAATATACTATAAAAATTTATCCAATATATTTCAGGAAATTTGTGACTTTATTTCTGTGCCTGGACACATCAAACTGCCATATCTTAAAAAGCCTAAGAGAAAATTGCCTATCCAAATACAATATTTTATGTACGCTTTAGGGAAATATCAATATTTAGTGCATATGTCAACATACATAAGTGCAAAAGAGAGTCATGTTTGATTACTCAGTCTAATATGAACCAGACTCCTGTTTTGCAGTTGGTACCTGTGTTTCCATTACTTTAGGTAACATCTAAACTAAGCGTATCTAATTGTAACCAAGAGCAGGATAAATGTTAAAATCCCCTTCCATTATAGGATTCTATGATAATACTCATGATGATTTCAGCTATAGAATAATAAGAGTTTTTGAAAAACCTGAAAAAATTGAGAGCTAACTGTAGAAAAGTTATCTTATAGTATTTAGATAGTGACTACTATAGGCAAATTCATGACATCATGTCAGTTGCTCTGAGCAAAGCAAGTGCTAAATATATATCTTTGAATTAAAATGTAATGATCAATTAAGTTGATATTTCAAAATTTTTTTAATGAATTTTAATTTGTTCCTTAAAAAAGAATAGCCATTATGCCTGTAAATTTGGTACCTTTTCATGCAATAAATGTGTTTTAATAACCAGATATTGAAATCAAATACCTAAATTCTGCTCAGTTCTCAATAATAAGCATTGACCAATTAAATATTAATCAGTGATAACTAGGGATTCTTTAGGATCTAGATCTAATGTGTAAAAAATCAAATACATATGAAGCTTCTCTAACAGAATAGTAGGAGCCTTTGCTATGCTTTTTGTTAAATTTATTTTAATTCTTCTCTTGAACTATATTATCAGTCTGCCTAAGTAATTCAGTCACATGTGTCTATTCAAAATACAGGGAAACTACATGATAATTGTTATAACTTTTTAATTCTCTTGAGTAAGAACCAAAGGTTTCTTTTAGTATAGAAAACAAAATTAGTAAATATCTGATAGTTTCAGTCAAAACTCAGCAACCAAACCAGATGACATTATTGTAAAAAATAAAAACTGCTCTTAATTTCAATATTTCTGACTTTTCTGTTTCAATTGTCTGAAATGACATGAGGAAATATTCTACAGTATTTCTTGGTAAAAACAGCATTATGATTCATTTTCTTGCTCCTCCAGTCTACTGAAAGCAAATCAATCATCCCAGACTGTGCTCCACCCATATCGAATTTGTACAAGAGTTTTCAGCAGGGCACATCCCATACCGTATGTAAAAACAGCTTAGCATGGAATTCTAGGCCTTTCGCAACAGTGTCTAACTTCATCCCAGCGGATTAGTCTGTGTTTGTGTGTGTGCACAAACATTTCCTTTATCATGCTATATGCAATCTCACCTTCTTGGATTATCCACATGAAAAATTTTATTACGTTTTTATTAGCTCCTCCTGCCCACAGATACCGCCCTATCCACAATCTTAGAAAATATCAGGAATTTGAAGTTAAAGAAATCTTAATGACAATTTAATTTAACCTAACAAGAATCTGAGGTTTGGGAAGTTTAATTGACTTCTAAATTCTACATAATTATTAAATGCTGCAATCGGGACTGAACCTTCTAAGTTGCATGTTTATGTGTATGCACATGTAAATTTCATTAAATCTTGTTGCTACTACTTTATTTGTTCTAAAACTGCTTCCTCTAAATTCAAGATCAAACTCTAGATTTTACATATAAGGATTATATATCTTTCTGACTTTATACAATTTTATATTACCTATAAATTAATTTGCTTCTTCTGCAATACCTGGCTTCTGTAAAAGTAAAAAAAAAAGAAAGAAAATTACGCAAACAACTTCCCATTAGAAGTTACCTATTCTTCTCCAGTTCTGGTAGTACATGGTAAATATGGTAGGCCTTTACTTCACAGGGGGTATGCCAGAGCAGTGGATCCTGGGAAGACTGTCTGTGTTTACCCACAGCAACCAGAGACAATCTGTGTGGTGTTCAGGTTAAACCCTCATCAGAATTCATGTGTTTAACTAAATTCAGGGTTACAGGTCTATCTAGTCTCTGTATATATGAATGAATAATGATGTCAAAAGCCAGGAGAATAGTTTAGGAGTTTATAGACCCTTAAGAGTTTAATATAAGAAGTAACAGGGAGCCCATTTTTATAGTGAACTAGCTATGTAGTACATGGCATCACTAAGACAAGGCACTATTACAAAACAGAGAAAGTATTTTTTTTTAAAGTAGTGCAAGCATTTTGCTGAAATTTCTTTCATCTACATATTGTTTTCCATAGATAATATAAAATAGTCGACACATAAACTTGATTTGAGTCTCCTCATTTGACAAAAATCTGATTATTTATAATGGGTTTTCCATTTTGGCTCATGAGCTGGTTGTCAAAAATAAATAAGTACAAAAAAATTGAACACCTTAACTTGTCAATGGGTGAAAAAAGAGGTTATTGTCCCAAGACAAGTGATAAGGCATTTTATGAAAAGTAATTAAACTATGCATACACTTTTGGTAGCTATTTCTGACAGATTACAGAACTAATTAAAAATAAGCAAGATGGTATAAAAATATCTAAAGTATAATGTATATTTTAAAATGTCAGTGCAGTAATGCTGGTTAATTACTCAATATACACTCAGTTTTTAGAAGGAAGCCTTTTTTGTTTATAGCTAAAACTAAATGCTTGTAGTGGAGCCTTGATTGCCTTAGGAGTACAAGTATCTCTTTTTATCTGTGGCTATTCTTCTGTATCTGTGAATCTCCCAGGATGAAACCATTTATATAAGGTTCCATGAACTAAATGTATCCTTTATACACTACCTTAGAAAAAGAATCATAAGGCAATTTCAAGTCCTCAGACACAAACATTTGTCAGTTGAACTTGAAATATCATGATGTTAGTTATCAACTATAGTGTGAAAGCAATGTTAAATGAGGGACGCTAGAGGATGTCATATGACTAACCTGAGGAGAAATAAGAGAAAAAAAAGAACATCGAGTGAACTGTTTGGGGCAAAATGGGTATGACCTATGGAACTAGAAGAGAGAGATTTCAAAAGAAGAGGAAATAACAGACTTCTGATAAAGGAAGCTGCATTTGAAAAAATAAATAAATAAATACTGTCATACACACAAAATGAATTAGGTCAAGTTTTTGGAAATTTCGCAGATAATATATTTCTGATTTAAAAGTAATAGGCATAACTTCTGTGATACCAGGTACTTTTTATGTTTATATTTTTGGCCTGTTTTATCTTATTTGCCTGGTATTACAGTGAATCAAGCAATGCTCATACCATTCCAATCACTTCTAGTATAATATACCAAGGATCAAGAAAAATAAATATGTGATCTATGGGCAAAGTTAGTATTTATAATCGTTTATTATGTTTTCTTCTCATAATTTGAAATTGCCTCAGCATTGGGTTAAATAGGGGAGAATCAACAGTGAACAAAGGAATTGTCTTGTGTATAGATTAGTATAAATAAGATTATTAAGGGGAAGATAAATAAATAGAAAATTCTTCACATCAGAAAGATCATGTCATATAATTGAGACACAGAAAAGAGAAGGAGAGAGGTAATGAACCTGTTTGCTCAAAATTGAATACAAGAAGGGAGTTATATATTCTCTAATGCCATTTGCTCCCGACTGCTAATGAGCAACTGTTGGTGTTGTTGCTACTAGGATAATATTAAATCTTCCTAAAGGTAGTTTCTTTTTTCTGCTTGTTTTTTCTCTTCTTCGTCCTTCTGCCTCAAACCTTTTGCTCTACATTATAGGCAGTAAATAGTTCAGTTTAACTGAAATTAAGAAACAGAAGCATCTAAAAGTATTTGTGTTTATTTCTCATATACATCATACTATTCTTAATTATGATAAATTATGCATCAGTAGAGACTAATATATTTTAGTAAATTTTGATATATTTCAATTGAATTTTCTTTTGCCTCCTATCACACACTAATTATTTACCCATAACTTTAAATTAAATTTCAAAGAAAGTTTTTTAATCTTTTAAATGTACACACATACAATTAAGTTATATCTAGCTGATTAATATTGAATCAAGTCCACATGTAATTTATTTTATTTTGAAGCTTAATATGAATACTACCCTACATTTAGCTACCTGAATAAATCACATTCCTTACCTTACCCTACAGAAATAATTTGCAATATCATGCCTTTTGCACATCATAATTAGTCAAATATTTTTGAATAACCATCAGTGACATGAACAGTTGCTTTAAAAATAAATATATTGCTATCACTTTCAGCTTCTACATTATCACATAAAAATTCTTACCTTGCCTACATATTGTGTGTCTGTACCTGTGTACTCTTCCAACAAGAAGAACTGATTCCACATCCAGCCACGCTTGGTGCGATGTAGCATTTTACCATCATCTTTTGTCAGACCCACTATCCTTTTGCTTGGTAAATCACTGCTAGCTTTTTCTTGTAATGGGATAGCATCAACTGTATGAAACACATAGGTCCAGATGAATAGTGGTAGGCAATGGTAAATCCTCATTATCTGTGGCTTCGGCAGGATATCAAATTCAATGTACCGTCTATTTCCCCTGAGAAGTAGGGGGAGAAAATGGTGTATTAGGTGTGTTTCACTTTTAAATAACCTACAAACTGCAAAACTTTTGTAAATGTTACTTAAATTTTATATATAATATATTATTTATACATTATTTTTCCATGTTACATCAGTGAACTATCATCAAAAACTTATATATCTTATAGATAAGTAGGAAGACATATATAGCACAAAAACTACATAGGATGTTAAAAGCTGACTAGAATTAAAAGCTGACTAGGGACTTGAATACCTAAGTACTATTCTCTGTCTCCGCTTCTCTCTCTAATCTCTCTTGGTTTGAACTAAGCATCCTCAACCTAATGGAATATAGGGATACATGGAGTTCAGATTTAACATGTTCCAATCCAGAAAGCAACTGATAGTCTTTTCTAATGTGAGTTTGAAAAATCCTGGAAATGAATTTTGATTTACCTGGTTTAGGCCAGATGCCCATACATCTATACATTCAACTACAGTAATCAAGGCATGAAAGTCAAATATCAGCTTCTAGCTTGGCTTTATCCCTTATTTCCTGTGCAACATTGGGATATTTACTCATATCATTAGATCTCAACTACTCTTTCTATCAAAAGACAATAATTACTACCTGACTTTCTGAGTATTGTTAATTTTCAACTTTAATCAATACAAAGTAATCATCATTTGTAGTATGAAGATTTATTTTATTTTTATAACAGCATATACTTAAGAAAATAGTGAGATGTGAAGAGTTGAAGTAATTTGATAAAGATCTTATAGGCAGTAAGTGTCAGAATTAGTTGTAGACTCACAGCCTTAAACAGTATATTTTAGATAAGATATGTAAAGAAGTTAGCACAGTGCTAGCACACACATTCTCAACATGTTCATGTTTTCATTTTCATTATCAACATCATTATCATCATCAAACATGGTTGCTACCACTGTAGCCTTATATATGTATATATCTCCAATATAGCAGAGTAGAGAATGGTGACTGACAGATAATATTATAGATCCTTGCTATGATCCAGAGCTATTAGCTCTGCCCGGCACATATGTACCATAATTTCCATGCCTGTTATTTTTAAAATGCAGTTACTTAACAAAGTACATATGCGTGGCCACAAATTTATATACTCCAGAATGAGAGAAATCAGTCACATCACTTTTTGACTTTGAAATCTTGAGTGATGGTAATTCTCTTTTATCAGGACTATGTGGCTATTTATTATAATCTTATAAACTATGGAAAATTGCTAAACTTAACCACAAGCAATATAAAACGCTGATGTAAATATAAATAAAAACTACAATGCCAAAGAATGCTTAGAAAAAGTGCAATGGAAAAGTACCATCTAGTGGTCACTAACTCAGAACAATGTCCTACATTTTGTTGATTAGTGATGGTGCAGTGGAAAATGAGCAGCCAGAGAATCTCGAGAACGGCTGAAATCCCATTTTGATAAAATACAACAAATTCCTTAGTTGACCGCACTGATTACCCTAATTTATTCTCATTAGGAAATTTCTTTTGGCCATTGTCCTTGCTGATCACCCTCGCCAGAGAAATTGGAAAGCATTCTTGATTTTCTGAGGTCTTTTCTAACTATCATGCCCACTTTGAGTGGAATGTAAGCCTTTAAAGCAGAAAAGTCTAATTATATTAGATGGAGCCAGAGACTTAGGCAGAGGCTAGCACCCCATAGGCATTAAATCTAGAGTAAAAATTTGCATTTGTTTTCAGTGCAAGGAAAGCAGTTGGAAGATTTTAACATAGCATGTTTATAAAAGATCAGTTGGCCACAGAGCTGAAAATAGGTTAGAGGGTATAAAAGGATTTGGCTAAGGGGAAGGTAAGTTAGACTCAATTGCTGTACTCTAGAAAGAGAAGACAATGGCATCTAGAGAAGTGATTTAAAGCAGACAGTGATACTCTGCTCAAGTTTTCTTCAATTTTTTTCATATGGCCACACACGCATGCATACCATATACTACAAGTTTTGTATGCTTTTACTTCTTCTAATGGCCTGCACCTGCAACTCTCTTTGGAGAACTTCCCTTGGCACCCGGGGTCACTTTGCCCACATGAGCAGGAGCCTAAAGTGCCTGCAACTTCAAAATCATCTCCCAGAAAATCCCTGAACCATTGTCTGACAGGTGCATAGATATGAAAACCCACATCCCAGAGCTTTCCTGCAGAATCCTGCTGGGGCTAGAACTTGACTGATGTCACACCCTCGTTAGACTCTTCTTTCTGTCCTGCTTTTCTATGTTCTACCTCATTTATGGACCTGGAAGCAATTTGTTAAACATTCACTTGCACATAAATCCTCACCTCAGGTTTTACTTCTCAGGGATAGATCTAAGGCATAGATAATATCCACACATTCACATATTGAGAAGAGTAAATACTACTTTCTCATGCATTGGTTATAGAGGGTAAAAAAAACAAGAAACAAAATATAATTCTTAGGTATTAGTTTTTGAACTGAGTGGATGATTAAGCTATTTATTGGGTATCATTTATATCAGGGAAAGGAAGATCTATTTAAAATTTAAATAATCAGATTTTTGTTATTCTTGGTAAAAATAAAGAAGTAATTTTTATAATGCTACTACTAACAACATTTCAGCATAATTAGTAACAGGAAGCAAAGTGATTCACTGTCATACTGATTTATATCATTTAATTTACATATTTATGACAACCTTTAGAGTCTTTTATAATTCCTTATATTCTTATGAGGCAATTGAGGCACAGAGAGGTTAATGACTGTTTAAGTTTATATAAGGAGAGACAGAAGAATTAAGAAAAAATCTAGGTATTCTATTGCACTTGGGCTTCACTACTCCAGAATAGCCTACTAACTTTAATGATGCTGGCAACCAACATTTATTCTAATTTGCTCTCCGCATTCTAGGCACTTTGCTGAGTCTTTTTTCAAATACCGTTTCTTTAACTCTCATTACAGCAATATTGCAAAGAAGGTATGACCATATTAGACAGAGGGGTAAACTGAGGCTTCGCTTGTTGAAGTCACTTGCTAATATCATAGGATGGTAGGCATCTGTGGGAAAGGTAGAAGGCATCTAGGATTTGAACTCTGTTTGACTGATGACAATGCTCGTGATAGTTATTGTACTGCTGCTGGGTAAAATTGTTGCATATGTGACCACCTGGATGCCTCTGTCACGTGTTTTAAGTGTTTGCCCAGTTCAGAGTCTTTGTCATTACTAACAGTGTGACCTGGAACAGTCTTACCTGGATCATCCATAGCCATCTTTTTCTCATTATTTTCAGTATCTGTATAATCTGTTTTCTTGAGACATCTTCTGTAACAACTTTTTCAAAAATAGCTCTCCCCACTTAGTCTCTATTGGTTTCTTTCATACCATATATGTATTTCTTTCATATTATTTACAATTTTAATTATCCCTTTCATTTAGTCAATATGTTTATTGACTCTTTCCTCTTGTTATAATGTAACTTGTATGGTGGTGAAATAGTTTGTAAATCACTCTGTCCTACATAAAACAGTTATTGACACAAAGTAGGTACTTAATACATTTTTGTAAAATTAATTGGTTAATTGATTCATGCATAAAATGGATGATTCCCAATTTGAGCCTGGATCACATAAAACATTGATTTAATCTTCTATTGGATAAACATATTAATAAATATATAGAAAGAGTTGAACTAGGAGATGTCTTTTGAAAGAATTCTGGGTGTTTTCTTTTTCTAAGAAATGAAATATAATCTTCAGTGAAGTAAGAGTAATGGTCATAAAAATGTGCATAATATGGGATTAAGTATAAATGTCACATGATTGGTATAACTTATAGAATCTATGTTTGAGCTTTGAAGCCCTTTTATCAAATATCATTTTTATTTTCCTCATAATTCTTGGCATAATTCTTCACATCTAGGAAAAAGTAGTGCAACTCTCCTGTGGCCAATTTAACACCTATATATTCCTGTTCTTACACAAAAATGAACATTCGGAAAGATTTTCTGTTTCATTTGGTTTTAAAGTTAGCAAGCTCTTATCCCATGGGGTTTATTAAAAATTCTTCATATTCTTTATTCACTCAATAGCAACAAGCTGATTACTAAATTTTCTATGCTTAATTATCTCTATCAGCCTTAAACGCTCTGCATTTTAATCCCATTTTTTTGTTGATAAATAAATACCATCAGATGCATTATAAAGTACAATATTTTAAATTTGGTTTAACTTTGATTTTGTAATCAGGGAATTCACTTGAATCTTGTTAACTTTAAAAACCGAAAATTGTTTTGTTATTATTCCCTTGTTTCCTTAATTATATTTCAGTTGCATTTGAGAAAAATGTCTGCTGGCTATTTGTAAATCAAGAGAAATTGAGCATAATTTTAATTAAATAGGATGTTCAGCATATAAAATAGACATCCAAAATTAAATAATATCATTATTTCTTATCCCTATAGTTTAAATACAGATAAAGTATTTTAATAATTCCAATGCTGTTTTTCAGGAAAAGTTTCTCAGGTAAAATGTATGTATGAGACAAATGAATATGATTAATTTTAGTATTTTATGACACTATTTGTCAACTAAGTACTTTTACATACCTTATCCTATTTATCTTCAAAATAACAACTGTGAGATATGGTCGTATAACTTAAATTCTTTTCCAGATGAAATACATGAGGTTTGAAGAGGTAAAGAAAACCATTTCTGATTATCCAATTATTTTGTGGTTTTGGCAAAAGTCATTTTTATCTAGTTTGATTCTTTAGTCAGTGATCTTTCCAACACATTATTGTGTTTTTTTATATCAATTGGAGACACAAGTCTGTCAGCTAAGTTAGGTATATATAACAATATGTAAAGATCAAATTTTATGAATAGACACCAAAATTATGTCTTATATAATCAAGTAACTACTTAAAGATATATGTTTGAACCTATCTATTT